TAATGTGATGTTGTACATGGTGTACGGTGCATTTTTTTTGATAATCTACTTTTGTGATGCATATTTCGACAAGATATCGGTGAAAAGTTTGCTCATATGTTTTATTATTCGTACACCATGGATTTCATAGTTGATAGTTATACCGTTCACATGTAGACGTGTGTTGTTGTCGGCTAGTTGCTTTCTGTGCATGTCTACTAACAGATTGTACGCGCTGAGGAAATCTGCACCGAGAATCGGCTGTTTGACTTGTGCTACAATGAAGATCCACGTGAAGCGCCTTCTAAGTCCGAGGTCTAAGACGGTTTGTTTTGTTGGCCGCTTGCAGTGACACATTGCTATATAAGGTGTGTCGCCGTCGTGAGAGCTCTAATGGGATGACACTAATTTCAGCTCCTGTATCGACTAAGAAGTGTGAGCCTGAAATATGATCCCTGATATGAAAAAGATTGTTGTGCTTCCAGGTATATAGCCAATCGTAGAATATAACGTAAATGTGTCTGTGGTCTATAAATGTAGACAGTAGATGATTTAGAGTTCAGTTATCACAACCATGAGCAATAGAGAACAAGAGGTCTGTGTATAGTAGTGTATTTGTTAGCAGATAACAGCGTGTGTTTTGCTATGCGTGTATACGCGTATACAGCCTCTGCCAGGGAAGTCCTACTCACTGTCTTCTCGTGGCGGGGGTGTTGTTTACGAAAATGAGAAGACGAAAAGCGAATGTCCGGCGCTTTAACCGGATCCCAAACGAAACCAATGGTGCACACGGGCTCCAGTATCCTGCGGGAACAAACGGCGTATGAACCAATCGTTGGCCACCGGCTACCATGGGACTGCATCTCCTCACGATGCTCCACTGCCTTGTGGGTTAGACCTTTAGGTCAAAGGCTCGGGGTGTGGCCCCCTAAGAAAACCACCTGCTTCGGTTTGGGAACCCGGGCAGTATCTCAGCCCGCACACAAAAACATGATAAACTGTCTACTTATGAAAAATATTCCTCTCGCTCCAAATAACAATCAAGTGACTCGCATTATTATTATTATTATTATTATTATTATTATTATTATTATTATTATTATTATTATTATTATTTACTACGTCATTATTCACCCTCTTTTGTTCCTACACTGTCTATGCTTATTTTTTCGACTTATACAGCAGCTTGTCTATGGTTGAAATTCGACTGTATCTAAACGTTCTCGAGTCATTTGTATGTTACCACCGAATATGAGTACTGAAGCAGTTCTTCTGAAACCATGTGCACCATTAAAACTGGCTGCCTTCAAAGTTCGCACACTTATGCAGGCTGGACAACAGATAGGGCTGGCTATGTCTTTAGAAAGTCCTAATATCGATGTTTGCTGTCTATCCGAGATCCGTATTCAAGACTGGTGAAGTATTACAAATTCGATCTCCATCTGTCGCTTCGAAAAGCTTGTTTTACGTGCGCTTATCCTGGATATCTGTGGCATCTTCATCTGGTCTTGCTGGCGTTGGTGTCGCACTAAGCGTTAGAGCTGAGGCAGCACTAATCGATTGGATCCCCATTAACAGTTGGTTATGTGCTGTTAGATTAGAGAGTTCCATCAAAGTGAGAAGAAATCGGCGTGAGAAACGATGTCTTTTCGTCATCTCCGCCTATGCTCCGACCGATTGCAGCCCGGATGCAATCAAGGATGAGTTTTACCACCAGTTATCTGTTCTCCAGAAAGTGCGTTCGAATGATATTGTAATACTAGCTGTAGATTTGAATGCTCAGGTCGAGCGTCTAGGCACAGAAGAGAGTCGTTTAGGTGGCCGATGGGGACTTGTTGCTCGCAGGACAGATAACAGGGACCGTCTACTGCAACTGTGCACAGACCACAACCTGTTTCTGGCTAGCACTAACTTTCGGCGCAGTCATCTCCGATGTGCCACCTGGCATCCTCCTTCTGCATCTCAAGCCTGGATTCAGATTGACCACAACGCGATCAGCTACCTCTGACGCGGTTGTGTACAAGACTGCCGCTCCTTTTGGAGTACCTATCTGGACTCTAACCATGCTTTGGTCTGCGCCAATCTTACCTTACTTTTCAGTGGTCAACGAAGTGACCACCATCAACGGATTGATATTAGCAAGCTGGTTGCAATTGCATGACGCCATCAAAATGGCGGGTACAGTCAATTGTGGGTTCGCGAAACGTCCCGCTTATAAGCACTGGGTTTTTCCAGGTTCCTTACAACTCATTGAAGCCCGTCGGTCTACCCCGGGTGACCGTGAGTTTGGCCACAAACGAAGAATGTTACGTAAGGAAATTGGGCAAAGTTTGCGTAAGGACCGAGAAGCCTGGTGGTCGAAGTGTGCTAATGAGCTGGAAGCAGCAGCTGCATCTGGTAATCACCGGATGCTCTTTCAACTCATCCGAGCCACTGGCAGCAACAGGTCTGGTGTGAGCGAAACAATCTGCTAGGATAACGGGACGCCAATCACTAACATCCATCGACGTCTTGAATGATGGGCAGAGTTTTTCGAGGAGCGATTCAACGGGTCTGCTGCCCTGGCGACATCGATCAGACTGTCATGCTTTTCATGGCCTGTGACGACTGGTCCGCCAAATGAGGCGGAAGTCTGCGAGAAATTCCAACTCTTGAAGCGCCACAAATCACCGGGGCCAAATGACTTGCCTCCGACCCTTTTTAAAGATGATGGTGACTTTCTGGCTAAGGAACTGACTGTATTGTTTGCAAAGGTCTGAAAATTAGAGAGTGTTCTAACATCATGGAATGAGTCGATAGTTGTCCCTATCTTTAAAAGGGTTCACGTCGTTTCGACAACAACTATCGGGTAATAAGCTCACTCCCGTTTGCGTCCAAACTATTGGCTTCCGCCCAAAACCCGAGAAAGATTGACTCGCGAGGAGCAGGCTGGTTTTCGTTCTGATAGAGGATGTATTGATCATATCTTCACCCTCCGCCAAATGTTAGAACACCGTCATGCTTATCAAAGGCCAACAATCGTAGTGTTTCTTGACATCAGGGCTGCCTTCGATTCGTTGTATAGGACTGTTCTCTGGGATTGTCTACTGAAGGGTGTGCCTGAGAAGTTTATTCACACCTTAAATGCCCTATATACAAACACCTCAGACAGAGTGAGGGCATACAACCACCTTTCTCCATTGTTCCATTCGAGCAGTGGTGTTAGGCAGGGTTGCCCAATCTCACCATTCCTCCTCAACTTTGCCATCGACGGCATTCTGGAAACAGCTCTGATGAAATCAATTCACGTATAGTGAAAGCCAGAACGGCTTATGCCAATCTGGGCCATCTTTGGTGCCTTCGTGATGTTAGTCTGGCTGTAAAAGGTCGGATCTACAACGCGTCGGTGAGAGCAGTTTTGCTCTATGCTTGTGGAACCTGGCCTCTCCGAGTTGAGGACGTTAGACAACTCTCTGTGTTCTATCATCGTTGTCTCCGAAGGATTGCTGACATCCAGTGGCAACACCATGTTAGTAATGCAGAGGTTCAGCATCGTGTGTTCGGGCACAGAGACGATAATGCAATTGGTGTCACCATCTTAAAACACCGACTTCAGTGGCTTGGATATGCTCTATGAATGTCGTCCCAGAGAATTCCATATCGTGCATTATTTGCCGACTCTGGGACTGGTTGGGAGAAGCGGAGAAGTGGTCAGTATATGTCATGGTGTCGTGGTATGAAAGAAAGCTACAAAGGACTGGCTTGTGTTGGTCCTTCACGACCCCCTGGCTGGGGTCCGAGAGATGGTGCAACACAGTGGATAGAGACGTTATCAGATATGGCTCAGAATAGAAGCCAGTGGCGATCCTGCTGTGACTTTCTTTTACTTTCTTCATAAAAAAGGTGGTTGTATCTTCCTTAACTGTAGGATTTCTTCTGATTGTACCTTTCCGTTCCCCCATTATTACTATTATTATTATTACACTACCTTACACCAATCTCTTCCTTATTGTTCTTTTTTACTCTCCTTACCTTTTTTTTTCTTTTTCCTTCTCTTTAAATTCTCATTGTTTTGTGTGGTGCATATATATTTGGCGCACTCTTGTACAAATATATATGTGTTCAAATAAATAAATAAAAAATAAATAAAGCGTGTAACACAGCAGAAGAAAGTGTGCCCAAGGTCATACACTCAACATGTACAATCATTTTGTGATAAATGTAGACTGTAAAAAATTAACAAAATGAATGCAAATAATGGCAATAACTATTTACAAAATAGTTTTATCATGCCTATAATTAATATATTATAACATTGTTGCTTGTACGCAATCACTTTATTACTATTTTTGAGTTCAAATATTGTTTAGGATTTATATCCTGCAGCAGACACCATTTTATATTCAATGCCGTGGGAAACTAAAAATATATGAGTTTGAGGGGAACCCTGGAATTTTCTTGAAATCAAGAGATTTGGCCGACGAGAGAAAACCACTTTGCCAGGAAATATTCTGGCGCACATATGTGGTAGCGGATATCCGCTACCATGAGTTTTGTCTCATTTTTCAAATCTGACATGCTTTCACATAAACCGTTTATGTAGAATCAGTAAGGTAATATACAAAGGGGGATTGTTCGCATATCATTTTACAAGATTGAATGGCTGATGTTTAGTTCTCTATATTTTCTATTACTTTAGATGATTCTCATTCACTAGTTCATGGTTTTTATTCTTACCTAAATTTATATATAAGCAGTAAATTACTAATACCAACTGTCAAAGTTTGACTTAAAAACAAAAAATAAGCCCGTTATTACCAAGTCTAAAAACGTGTTTGTTATAGTTCCAATTGTTTCATCGTATACTTTGCATTTTATTTCGTATTTTTGTTGACTGAGCTGTTAACTTCACCTTTAATGTAATTGTTTACTGGATTGTGAACTTAAACCAATGTTTCTTTTGTAAATCTTTATCCAGTGTGGCGGAGAACTTTCGCTTCAACAGTCCTGTCACCTTGTACATAGTACATCTGGCCTTAGACATGGCGTGGACCATGGTTTGTGAATTCGATAAAAGCAATATTTTAAACATATAGAGTCGAATAAATTCAGCCGTAAATAACAACTATAGTCGTTACTTGATACATTGCAAACGTTATTTAAAAGAAGTCTTAAGTTCAGGAGTACTGGGTGCTGAAGCAGCCTCACTTGATATAGTTGAAGTAAGCCAGCTTTTTATCTAAAACGTTTTAGTTTTGTCGGTGAATAAATGTGCTTTTTTCCACAAATGTGTTCTCTCTAACTACATATTCTTCTTCCCGTCTTGGACTTCAAAATGCATGCAATTGATTAACAGTCCAATAATTTCAACGCTCAGTTTGGCAATCAGCTTTTGTGCTTAAACCTATTTTACCTACTCACGGAACTTGGGACATTTGGGAACACCGATAGTTTTCAATAGACTTACAACTGATAGCGCGATGTTTCGCACGGTTGATGACTAATCCTACGGATCCTCAGTATCTATCACTACCGTTGTCGAAAATTTATGTCTACTGACTGAGATACTGTATATTTTGTAGCCACTTTCTTACTAGATGCAGATGAAGACAGCCAGTGTAGCAGCAGTCTCTGCATCAGTAGGCCTCAGCATACACAAAGGGAAAACTAAGGTCCTCAAATTCAAAGCGGAGAACAGCAATCCAATCACTCTTGATGGCGAAACTCTGGAAGATGTAGAATCCTTCACATATCTGGGAAGCATCATCGATGAACAAGGAGGCTCAGATGCAGACGTAAAGGCGAGGATCGGTAAAGCAAGGGTCGCATTCCTACAATTGAAGAACATATGGAACTCAAAACAACTTTCAACCAATATCAAAGTGAGAATCTTCAATACGAACGTCAAGGCAGTTCTACTGTATGGAGCTGAAACTTGGAGAACTACAACAACCACAATCAAGAAAGTACAAGTATTTATAAATAGCTGCCTTCGCAAGATACTCAACATCCATTGGCCGGATACCATCAGCAACAGCCTTCTGTGGGAGAGAACAAAGCAACTTCCAGCTGAAGAGGAAATTAGGAAAAGACGATGGAAATGGATAGGACATACATTACGCAAATCATCAAACTGCATCACGAGGCAAGCCCTAACTTGGAATCCTGAGGGGAAGCGAAAAAGAGGAAGGCCAAAGAACACATTGCGTCGGATAATAGAAGCAGATATGAAAACGATGAATTACAACTGGACGGAGCTAGAAAGGATTGCCCAGGACAGGGTTGGATGGAGAACGCTGGTGAGCGGCCTATGCTCCTTCACGAGGAGTAACAGGCGTAAGTAAGTAAGTACTTTCTTACTAGATCACTTAAAGTTTATACCCCCTCAATTTAGTTTATTAACACCGATCACTAGTACCACGTTTCATCTACCAACCAACTTAATAAGTAGTTGAAAGAAGCAAGACTATTAATTAGGGACGAATTTGGGGGTCGGTCGTGCCAGGGCATTTGAGAGTAATCCCCAAACATGTGGTCTAATGAATCGTAGATAGATAACAGATAGTTCTACAATTGTATGAGTTTCTGCTTAAACTGGTGTCTGTGTCAGTAAGCATAATGAATGTAGGATAGTAGTATAGAGTGAATATTAGAAGTGACCAATTATGGGAAATATTACACCACCATTTTATTGATAGGATGTTCAGGATAAAATTGTATATACATTCGTTCATTTCTGCAGTTAAGAAGTAGTGACTCAGTAGTAATCATCTCACAGATAAGATTACGATTTGAGTCTTCGGAGAAACTCAGCGTATGAAAAACATGAATACAAGGCTCAAATTCTGTATTTAACAATAATCATAGTGTAATTAGGAAGAATGAATTGTGATAAAAAAAATTTGGTTTTTTTAAATTAAGATGTTAGCGGGACATAGACTGGATTAAAGCATGCTCAATGCACGATTGCTTTGGTGCACGCTGATTGGCTAATTCAATACTTAGTGAACACTCTAGAAATGCTCTCATATGAAAACCATAAATATACTAACGTTTTCCCTATTGTGCTTCTTACTTCCATCTAACCTTGTTATTTGGAATAAAATCTCTTTCCTGTTCAACCGTGTTCTGATTTGGGGACTTGTCGAGTGAATCGGTGTCCGACAATACTAAGCAATAGGAATAGCTGGGTTATAACCGTAAGAGAGAATTATAACATAAGATCATGAACTGATTGATGTTAAACCACCATTGGAAACCTGGAAGCACTGGATGGGCGTTTCATCCTATTGTAGGACTCCTCAGCGGTGCGCATCCACGACCCTGCCCGCGGGATTCGAACCCGGGGCCTTCAGTTTCGCGCGCGAACGCTTAATCTACTGGACCACTGAGCCGGCATCCAATGATGTTAACGTCTAGCATCAATCGGTTCATGATCTCAATCAAAAACTTAACAATCTCCACAACCCCTAAACTGAAAATTTTGGTTTCCCTGACTGGGAAGTGATCTAAATTCGTTTATGTTCTAAATGATATTTATTCACTTTTACTTTTGCCCTCAGATTTTGCATACAGGTGTGGTATTTATTTAGGAAACTAGATTCTAAATAACTATCACCGGAAACTATAAGTCAAAAAAATTAATAATTCAGTCATTATATACTTAAAAGGTACTAGCTAGTTAAAGGCAACACAAATGTACTGTTATTATGAATAATTCAGAGGTATTGAGCAAATATATACCCCCAAATGCCAGGGTACGGTTGAGGATGGGGAGAGTCAGCTCTCATGCTCTCACATGACCACACGTATACAACCACTACTAGGGATGTCCTACTCACTGTCTTTTCACGAAGGGGGCGTTTTTTTTACGAAATTGAGAGAATGAAAAACGAATGTCCGTCGCTTTAACTGGGTTGGTGGACATGAATAGTCCACCTATTTACTTACTTACTTACTTAATTACACTTGTTACTCCTCGTGAAGGAGCATAGGCCGCTCACCAGCATTCGCCATCCAATCCTGTCCTGGGCAATCCTTCTCAGCTCCTTCCAGTTGTTATTCATCCTTTCCATATCAGCTTTTATTTCCCGACGTAATGTGTTCTTTGGTCTTCCTCTTTTCCGCCTTCCTTCAGGATTCCAGGTTAGGGCTTGCCTTGTGATGCAGTTTGATGATTTGCGTAATGTATGTCCTATCCATTTCGATCGTCTTTTCCGGATTTCCTCTTCAACTGGAAGCTGGTTTGTTCTCTCCCAGAGAAGGCTATTGCTGATGGTATCCGGCCAATTGATGTTGAGTATCTTGCATTGACAATCATTTATAAATATTTGTACCTTCGTAATGGTGGTTGCTGTGGTTCTCTAAGTTTCAGCTCCGTACAGTAGAACTGCCTTAACGTTGGTACTGGAGATCCTGACTTTGATATTGGTTGAAAGTTGTTTTGAGTTCCATATGTTTTTCAGTTGTAGGAATGCGACCCTTGCTTTGCCGATCCTCGCCTTTACGTCTGCATCTGAGCCTCCTTGTTCATCGATGATGCTTCCCAGATATGTGAAGGATTCTACATCTTCAGAGTTTCGCCATCAACAGTGATTGGATTGCTGTTTTCAGTGTTGTATTTGAGGACCTTGTTTTTCCCCTTGTGTATGTTCAGGCCTACTGATTCAGAGACTGCTGCCACACGAGTTGTTTTTATCTGCATTTGTTCGTGTGTATGCGATAGGAGTGCTAGGTCATCTGCGAAGTCCAAATCGTCTAATTGGTTCTGAGCTGTCCATTGTATGCCGCGTTTTCCCTCAGATGTCGAGGTCTTCATAATCCAGTCGACCACCAGAAGAAAGAGGAAGGGTGAGAGTAGACAGCCTTGTCTGACTCCGGTCCTTACTTGGAATGCGTCCATCAGCTGTCCTCCATGCACGACTTTGCACTGTAGTTAGTCATATGAGTTCCGGATAATGTTGACAATCTTCTCAGGAACTCCATAGTGTCGAAGAAGTTTCCATGACGTCCTCTTATCTACACTGTCAAATGCCTTTTTATAATCAATGAAGTTGATGTATAGTGACGAGTTCCACTCAGTTGATTGTTCGACGATGATCCGTAGTGTCGCAATTCGGTCTGTGCACGACCGATCCATACGGAATCCAGCTTGTTGATCTCGAAGTTGGGCGTCTACTGCATCTTTCATCCGGTTCAGCAACAATGTTAAAGACAGTAGTGTAATGCCTCTATAGTCTTCACATTTGTTCAGATCTCCTTTCTTTGGAATCTTGATGAGGTGTCCTTTTCAGTCCATCGGCACATGTTCCTCCTTCCAAATCTTTTTGAATAGAAGGTGCTCATGGGCTCCAGGATCCCGAGGGAACAAATGTCGTATGAACCAATTTTTGGTCACCGGCTACCATGGGACTGAATCTCCTGACGTTGCTTCACTACCTTGCGGATTAGACCTCGAGGTTAACGGTCCGGGAGTGGCCCCCTAAGGGAACCACCCACTTCGGTTTGGGCACCTGGGGAGTATGACAACCCTCACAAAAATCAGTTGTAACTACGACTGGAAAAAATTTCACTTGCTTTAAAGCTCTCTCAAACAAATCTTATTCGCGATCATATGACAACATTCGCTTTTATTTCTTCTATACTACGTCACCTATGTATTCTCCTTTATTTTCATTTTGTGTATTTTATCTTCCAACTTATACAGCAGCTCGCCTATGGTGGAAACCCTGTCCAATCTGAAGGATTTCAAGTCACTTACTGGTCGAAATTCGAATGCTACCACCGACTGTGAATACTGAAACAGTCCTTCTAAAACCACTTATACCATTCAAACTGGCTTCCTATAACGTTTGCACACTAATTCAGATCAGAAAACAAGTGGGGTTGACTGTGTTTTTAGAAAGTCTCAATATCGATGTGTGTTGTCTATCTGGGACCCGTATTCAAGACTAGTGATGTACTACAGATTCGCTTTCCATCTGTCTCTTCCAAAAGCTTGTTTCATGTGCGTTTATCCGGGATATCTGTGGCAACTTCGTCCGATTTTGCTGGCATTGGTGTCTCAATTAGCACTAGTCGATCGGATCTACATTAACAGTCGGTTATGTGCTGTTAGATTAGAAAGTTCCATCAAAGTAAGAAGAAATCGGCGTGAGAAATGATGTATTTTCGTCATCGCTTACTCTCTGATAGATTGCAGGATGAGTTTTGCCACCATTTAACTGTTCTACAGAAAATGCGTTCGAATGATATTGTAATACTAGCTGTAGATTTGAATGCTCAGGTCGAGCGTCTAGGCACAGAAGAGAATCGTTTAGGTGGCCGATGGGGACTTGTTGCTCGCAGGACAGATAACAGGGACCGTCTACTGCAACTGTGCACAGACCACAACCTGTTTCTGGCTAGCACTAACTTTCGGCGCAGTCATCTCCGATGTGCCACCTGGCATCCTCCTTCTGCATCTCAAGCCTGGATTCAGATTGATTACATCGCGATCAGCTACCTCTGACGTGTTTGTGTACAAGACTAGCGCCCCGTTTCGAATACCTATCTGAACTTTGATCATGCCCTTGTTTGCGCTCATCTTGCCTTACGTTTCAGTGGCTAACAAATTCATCAACCTAAACGGATCAGTGTCAGTAAATTGGCTACAGCTTCTGTTGTAACTAAATATCAAACCGAGCTAGGTTCAAGGCTAGCTATCATCCCACTGAAAAGTATAGATGAGCATTGAACGCCATAAAAAAAGCTAGTAAAGTCGCTTGAGGCTTCTCGCTACATCCCGCTTATAAACACTGGGTTTCTACAATCTTGTTACGACTCGTTGAAGTTTGTCGGTCTGCTCTGGGGACCGCAAGTTCGACCACAGACGAAGACTGTTACGTAACAGAATTGGACAAAGCTTGCACAAGGACCTGGATGCCTGGTAGTCGGGGCGTACCAACGAGTTAGAAGTAGCAGCTCAATCTGGAAACTTTGGAAGCTCTTCCAACTCATCCGAGTCATTGACAGCAAGAAGTCTGATGTGAGTGAATCAATCCTTAAAGATGACGGGATGCGAATCACTAACATCCATCGACGTCTTGAATGATGGGCAGAGTTTTTCGAGGAGCGATTCAACGGGTCTGCTGCCCTGGCGACATCGATCAGACTGTCATGCCTTTCATGGCCTGTGACGACTGGTCCGCCAAATGAGGCGGAAGTCTGCGAGAAATTCCAACTCTTGAAGCGCCACAAATCACCGGGGCCAAATGACTTGCCTCCGACCCTTTTTAAAGATGATGGTGACTTTCTGGCTAAGGAACTGACTGTATTGTTTGCAAAGGTCTGAAAATTAGAGAGTGTTCTAACATCATGGAATGAGTCGATAGTTGTCCCTATCTTTAAAAGGGTTCACGTCGTTTCGACAACAACTATCGGGTAATAAGCTCACTCCCGTTTGCGTCCAAACTATTGGCTTCCGCCCAAAACCCGAGAAAGATTGACTCGCGAGGAGCAGGCTGGTTTTCGTTCTGATAGAGGATGTATTGATCATATCTTCACCCTCCGCCAAATGTTAGAACACCGTCATGCTTATCAAAGGCCAACAATCGTAGTGTTTCTTGACATCAGGGCTGCCTTCGATTCGTTGTATAGGACTGTTCTCTGGGATTGTCTACTGAAGGGTGTGCCTGAGAAGTTTATTCACACCTTAAATGCCCTATATACAAACACCTCAGACAGAGTGAGGGCATACAACCACCTTTCTCCATTGTTCCATTCGAGCAGTGGTGTTAGGCAGGGTTGCCCAATCTCACCATTCCTCCTCAACTTTGCCATCGACGGCATTCTGGAAACAGCTCTGATGAAATCAATTCACGTATAGTGAAAGCCAGAACGGCTTATGCCAATCTGGGCCATCTTTGGTGCCTTCGTGATGTTAGTCTGGCTGTAAAAGGTCGGATCTACAACGCGTCGGTGAGAGCAGTTTTGCTCTATGCTTGTGGAACCTGGCCTCTCCGAGTTGAGGACGTTAGACAACTCTCTGTGTTCTATCATCGTTGTCTCCGAAGGATTGCTGACATCCAGTGGCAACACCATGTTAGTAATGCAGAGGTTCAGCATCGTGTGTTCGGGCACAGAGACGATAATGCAATTGGTGTCACCATCTTAAAACACCGACTTCAGTGGCTTGGATATGCTCTATGAATGTCGTCCCAGAGAATTCCATATCGTGCATTATTTGCCGACTCTGGGACTGGTTGGGAGAAGCGGAGAAGTGGTCAGTATATGTCATGGTGTCGTGGTATGAAAGAAAGCTACAAAGGACTGGCTTGTGTTGGTCCTTCACGACCCCCTGGCTGGGGTCCGAGAGATGGTGCAACACAGTGGATAGAGACGTTATCAGATATGGCTCAGAATAGAAGCCAGTGGCGATCCTGCTGTGACTTTCTTCATCTACTTCTTTAATTGTAAGAATTCTTCCTGGTTATATTCTAGCCAACTGAACTGTTTCTGTTATTATTATTATTATTTTTATTATTATTGTTATTATTATTATTATTATTATTATTATTATTATTATTATTATTATTATTATTATTATTATTATTTCACTCTTGTTCTCTAATTTCTGCCCGTTGTTTTTCATTTATTATACATACTCTATCTCTTCACAACCTCATTGCTTTTGAATGGCGCATATGTGTTTGGTGCCCCCTTGCACCAATGTTTATTTGTTTAAATAAGTAAATCACACGTTGACATTCTGTTCATCATTGTCACATCTAAAATGTATATAACAAACAGAATACCTAATTTAAAAGCTGTTAAAGTTGTTTTCTTAGGAATTAACTCATGTACATACTATACACTCACATTATTTGTAAATTGGGGAAATATTCAAGAATCGCTGTTTCCTAAATCGATTCTTTCTATTTACTATAAATTTCAGCTTATACCTGGAGATAAGTATGCTAATATTGATGTCAACTGTAAACTACCAGTATATGATGGCTCCAACAAACCTTCAATAAAGCAAACACCCACCGCATTGGCATTTCATATTCAGCAGTATATGAATAGTGGAAGTAGTGAATTAAGGTAGTTTGCTAATTCTTATACTGAAAAATGCACTTGGCTACTTTTCCACAGATCACTTTTGCATAAGGGTTATCCAAAGATGAAGATTCCTGTTTTTCAGTTTTTTATAACTGAACAGACCTGTATAGTGAGTGTTTCTATTGTACGTGTTTTTTATTTTTATACCATAGACTTTTTTTCATGCAGATACTTCAGCTCTAAAGGGTTGTGTATTGATCTAATAGATTGTTCAGTCTCACAATCTAAATGTGTATAAACACAGGAACTAAACAGGATAAAATGATATAGTCCTTTGATATCCTTTCTGTGTAAGCAATGGAGGATATTAGCCGGTTGTGAAGAATAATCGACAAGAAGCCATAAACTTGGGTTTCTTGCTACTTCCCATTTTTCATAAAGATGTATCTTCAGGATGTTCAGTTATAATTAAGGTTGGTTGTTGCATTGCAATTGAATCGATAGGATTCACTTGGAACTAAGAAGTAAACAATCTAAAATTGTAAGAAAAGATGGATGGTGCCTAGCAGTGGAATCCAGGACACATGTTTCGTCCTATATGGAACTCTTCAACTTGGTGTACGTGCATTCCAAAGTTGACTCGAACGTAGTACCGTCCGCTTTAAACACCCCTACGTTATCCACTTAGCTACTGAGTTCTGATAACCACTAGCTTGTGCAATAGGGTGAAGTTTCAATTCATTTTTGTATTGTTTGTTTGAGTCTTCTCATTGATGGGAAGGTCCAAACAAACATTATAAAAATGAATTAAATCCAGCATTGGTTACGACTTAGTAATTAATTATTGCAACTAATAGAAAGCTGTTTAAATATTGTTATGAAGCCACAGATTATTTGTATGTGTAATTTTTAACTATGGCTACAAAATTAATTTCCAGTTTGAATCACACTACATTTTTTTCTAAAAATAAGGTCTTATTTTTAGCTATACTGATAAGATGTACTAACCGAGCTAATCTTTCATAGCATGATATGTAGTAATGATGGTCAGGATCTTCTAAATATTTATATACCAGCCAAACAGACCTCATCATACCATAAAATAGGGAATAACATTTATAGAAAATCAAGCCAAAAAGTGGCTGTGAACGTGGGAGACGGTAATTAATAAACGGAATATAATTTAAGAATAATATATCGTATAATTATTATTTATAGGTCAGAATGAAGCTTATAAGGGGAATATCGACATACATAATCTAGTTACTGAACCGTCATACGATAAGAATATATATATATATATATATATATATATATATATATATAATATTAGTCCATTAATAGTTCCCAGAAGTTACTCATAATTTAATCTTCGCTAGGACATAACAGTTCGTGATTCAGTTTTTTGAGCACATTATTTCATATACCTTAGCTCCACTCCATATCTAAATGTTATCTATATATTTTCTAGAAATCGCATATTCATATACATTTTCAGAAATTTATCTTCTGCCAGGAGGTTCAATAATCGAATTAGGATCTACAGATGATATTCTTATTTGGTGACCACTGAGCGAACAATCCTTTAGTTCGAGGTGGGCTACTAGGCGAAAATAACAAATCAAATAATATGGTTGATTACTTTCATTGATTTGTTGCATATATTGAAATACCACCTACTTCAGTGCCAAATGTTGGCAGGTGTAAGAGTAAGTTGGAAGAAAACCAGTAGAAGCAGCTAGAGGATGATGTGACATTAGTTCATGAAATCACTAACCGTTCGATTGGCCTGTTGTGATAGATGTAAACTACCTGGTTGTGTTTTGTGCGACTGTAGTGGTAAATGGCTGAGACGTTGAGTTTTATGGTTCATAATCGATTCCAATGACGCGGATGCATTCACTCCCTATCTTACTCTAGGTTTCAGGCTCCACCATCCCTTCATACAGACATTTTCATCCCGTTTTCTCGAACTATATTCCCAATATTATTCTTTTCATCATAGCTACTACATTATTTTGAGTCCTTTTCTATTCATATTGTTAATTTTACTTCATCTTGATGATGTGGTATGACATTGCAAATAGTTATTTTGTGTATCTGATTCTAGATTACTATTGGCGTTTTCATTTCATGCGTAATTTAGTGTCGAATAGTGCGATAAAAGATACAACAAAAATACTTAACAAAATAAATAACTGAATAACAAAACCATATATTTTTAAAATGTTATCTGTTCATCAATATCCGTAGTCTTACCAATTAATCGGTGATCTGAAGTTGTAACATTTCACAAAATTAAATATACATCTGTCTTTTCCCTTACAACATACTCTTTGTGGTAGTAAATTTATCCCATCTCTGTTTACATTGTTTTAAATATCCATAAAAGTCCTCAAAAGTAGTTAAGCTTCTCACTTATTATGTTCTTTTACATCTGGAAATAAAATGACTTCACAGAAAGCTAAGTGTAGTGAGTTGGAAAAGTGATCTAACATGGTAATCGAACTATTGGATAAGGACTATTGGACAATCACTGTAGAATATGCAAGCAAATGGTCTCATATTTATTGGATAGGCCATCTACTTACAGGGAAATCACAGTTTTCATCGATTATTTGCTAATTAATAATAAATCATCGAGGTCAGGTTAACTCCAGGCGATAGTATTTAAGTACATTGTGAATGGTCGCTTGCTTAGTCATTTCCATAACTAACGATTTAGCTGCCCAGTTCACGTATTTAATAGAAAGAGACTACTTATGTTTCTCACATGGTTATCTACATATTAACCGTACAATTTACTTTTGTTAATTTATATTCCTCATTATGATTTAAAAAGTTACCTTGATTTTCTTCTGTGCATGCATTACTGAATTAGGTAAATGCTCCTTCAATTGATTCAGAACATTTACAGTCATCCAACGATGTAGTATGTACTGCTATTCCAGCGTCTATCAAACCTAATAATGTTTATGGATTGGAACGTGATAAACTTGTTAAAATAATTAATTCAAGATTGAAAGCGATAAGGAAGAAATCTCATACTTTAGAGCCAAGAAATTTAGTACGTTATTATCATTTGTATTTTCATTATTGTGTATTGACTGTATGCAAAAATTGGTCAGATGATAAAATCTCTCTGGTTTGCATAGATATCAAATAAGTGGAATTCTTATTGTCATATGATCACCAGTGACTAACTTCGAGAGGAAAGTTCCAAAGTTTTAGTGAGAATGGAGTTCAACTGTGTTGGGTGTAAGAGAGGTATCCATCACCAGGTAATGGGTGAAGGTTGTGCAATATCTTTAGTTGATTGAATCTAGACATTAACACCGTTGGATGTTGATTCAGTGGTCTAAAGGTTATTATTATTAATGGCGTTCTCGTGCAAAACCGATGGTCTTAGGTTCGAGTCCTTTGTGCGGAGTCGTGAGTGTCACTCTTGAAGAGTCCTATACCTGGACGGTATGGTGGTTCAGTGCTTCTAGGTTTTCAGTGGTGGTCTAACATTAATGGGTTCGCGACTTCAATGAAAACTCCTTGTTTTGTTGTACAGCTTGAATGAATTGAAATTCCTTACAATTTTCTAGACTGTTCGATCGTATTGTCATTCTTCACATAACAGGTATGCCTGATAGCTTAATCTATAAACTAAAATGATATTTTGAAATCATGCTATTTGTTATTTAATTATTCAAGACCGAGAGACGTAACTCCGGTAGTTGGGAAGATTCAAAAATAGGGATTTAAAAGAAAATGTCTCGTAAACATTGCTTAGTCATATTATTTTGGTATATGAATGATGTTGATATCTTCCTAGTATTCAACCTTTTGATGATCTAGTGCATACAAATAATATTTTGCCCTTGGAGGACTTAACTAACAAACATACAATCCTTTAACAGTCTTCAAAAAGCCACAAAACACCTAGTGTTTATTTTGTAATTGAAAATTACAGTGATACTTGAAGAATTAAATGCTAAATTCGAAGAAGCAGATTCATCAGATTTGGTATGCTAATTGTCATTGAGAACAAATAGATCTTGATAATCCAGAAATGCTATGATCAATTTGTTATTCAGTAACATGCAACGTAGAATCCTGTGCATCTATGCAATGGTTCAAAATCCCTGGATCACATCACCACAGATTGATGAAATTATTCAGATGAGTACCAGTGTAGTAGAAGTAGTAACTAGTATTGGTGATGGCAAAAAATCTTAGACATGGAGAATATGTGTCAAGAAAAAATGATCAAATTGTAACCCAATGGTTTAATCTCTATGCTTTCGACCAATAAATCATAGTTCTAAGTCCTATTCCACAATATTTATGATTCAAATCTGAATAAATAGACCTTTACTCAGTTGGTGGTGTACAATTCTAAATCTTAATACTTAATAACTGCAACTTAATTTATTGTTTGGAACAGGTTTATTTTACATTCTGGGATTGATTTGAACTGCTTACTTGTGATAATACTCAATATAAAGCATTAGTTTTTGTAGCTTTATTGGATATTAGGAATAAATTGGTCCTAAGTTTAGGATTACATAGTTGGGGTTGTTTTAAGTTTATTCAGTTAGTCTAGTGATGAGCAATACAGATAGATCTTAACCGTTTTGAAATCTCAACATCATTCCCACTATTAAGTACATGACGAGCAATGGAATACAAGTTGACTTCTCAGTCTTAATTTTTGAGGAATATGCTCATTTATGCGAACGTTAACTTGCCTTTCTGTTCTCACAATCTATGTGCATCGGGATGTACTTGTAAATCGTTATGCACAATTGGAAATAACCTAAAGTGAGTATTTTCCCACTTTTAAGTGCTTCAACAAGCATTTTGTTCAACATATGAATGTAAACATATGTGCATTAGCTCAAGTTAGCGTACCACATTAGTACTATGAGATGATTTTTTAAAGGGGAATAGCAAAGAAATTGAAATAATGTAAAAGCAATAATTATGGGAAAGATTGAACTTTGATAATATAACAAAAGAAAAAAAAACGGTGAAAAGGTATATCTTCATTGTCGTGTTAATATATGTTCCCTCTGGTTCAAAGATATACTGGTCACCGTTTTAGGCCTTAAACTTGACCATAATGTGATTTGAATAAATTACTATGGTAAATTTTATCTCATTTTAAATTAAATGACTCCAGTCAATCTACTTAATTACCTTAGTTTTAGGTTCACATTAATACAATCCTTTTGTAGCCAACTTATCCACAAAGCGTCTTATTATTTTACATCTTTCAGATATCTGATAATTATGAAGAGATAAATATCACTCCTGAATCCATTAAACAAGATCACACTTCCATCAGTGCATGGGCAAAATATTGGAAGGAGAGTCAAGATTGGCGAGCTATAGCTAAACGCGATAGAAGACTTCGTCATCAAAGTACAGGATTAGAATTTTTAACACATAATCAAAACAAGAGTAGTGACGTAGAAAATTGACATTTGACTAAACATTGTGTAAATAATACTTATTGAAATCTATTTCTTCGTATTGTTGTGCTTCTTTCACTAGAAAAAGGTTAATATTCTCTTTGTTTTAAACATGGGATATGTAGGGTGTTACTAATAGAGTAGTTCTAACAGCATTCGAAATCACCTTGTTCACGATCATATTACATCGGCACCGAGCTTCTTAATTAATCATCTCGTGTACTGAACATTCAAAAAATCATTTTAAAGATCCTTTTATTTTCACTTGGTATTGTTTGGCTTGTATATTCCCATTGAGGTTTAAGACCGAAATTGATCAGTCTGTTATTGGCATACGCACAGTATGCACATATGCCAAAAACAGTAAACAATCTTAAACCTCAATGGGAAGATACAAGCCAAGCAATACCAAGTGAATTTAAACTCACCCCATTGCACAAGCAAGTGGCTATCAGAACTCAGTAGCTGAGTGGATAACGTGATGGCGTTTGGAGCGAGTGGTACTGGGTTCGAGTCCCGTAGTGAACATGAACTCTGAGTTGCAGGTACATCCAGTTGATGAGTCCCAAATAGGACGAGACGCACGTCCTGGATTTTACTGCTAGCTCCTATCCATCATTTCTTACAAAAATCCTTTTGTTTTTGATTCTCATTGTTTATTAATACTGACTAAACGTAGATCACACTCATCTGTTGGTCTTTTCCTACAGTCAGTTGTAATTATCTCAGTCTTACAGAAGGTCAGTCTCAATCCAGATGCCTAAGTGGTAAAGTCTAGGGTTGCAAACTGGATAACAAGGGTTTCGAATCTCATTAGGTCTATCAGTTCCGTCATGCTTATAAGTAGGTCTTCTGACGATTGGTAAGTAGCATGAAACCTATGTCTTGGACATCTTGTCAACTACTTCCGATCAATTAGGAAATTTCTTTACTGTATGTATTTTGTTAAATAAACCAAATAATATCAGATAGGAGTTTATTAGTTACCCTCTGTTTTGTAGGTCTCTATAAAGTCAGTTAGTTGAATATTATCAACAACTTTTTAACTATAAAAATGATGGGTTCATCCAGGCTTTTATATAACTCGTAAAAATCAATGCGAATAGTATCGTTCTTCAAGGATTAAAAAGAAGATTATGGAATATAGTATATCTTTTCGAAAATTAATCTTCACACCATGAAAAATTGGGGAGTTAGTATTTGTGAGCTTAGGTATTGCTCAGTGATAACATCCAACTCATTTATGACATAAAGATTAACGGCAGTATCTATCCACTCAAATCTCAACATGCTAGTTTTAGACTTGACCACAAATAAGTGGATTATATGTCTACTTTTTTAGGAAATTTGAGACCGAAGCATCTTTACCGATGCTCGACTGTATTTGCATTCATTGATCCGAACGTAGTTTCCACCATCTCTGACTAGTTTTATGGTAGTTTGGTCCACTTACTCAAAAATCGAAAGTTCTACATTTATATCATTGTCTGTCTACATTTTCAGCAATTTCATCTCACTGATTAGTCATGGTTTATTAGTCCTGTACTATCCTTACTCTGTGGGAATCGAATTTGATCGCTTTTAAACGGAATATGTGTGATTCAACCACGCAAAACCAACTTTCTACATCTGCTTGATAATCTATGGTCTGTATAGAAATCTAGTTAGTAGGAAAAACTATAAATTACCCACTTTGGGAAGGTGAATGAGAATTACTCTGAATTTAAGGATAAGATTCGCAAAATAAAGTCATTTTCAGTTATGATAATCTCCACGATATAATTAAATCTGTTCAATCGTGTTTACGGTTGCTTTTTTGCGTGTAATGAACATGGCGTCACTGGCAGAGGTACTTAAAGTCAACCAGAATTCGAATTCATGTAATAGTTGTATTGGCTACGCATGGCATACTGTTACCAAACGCAAATCCGGGCACTATCCAGGGTGGTTATTGAAAGATATGTGGAAATCCGTTAGCAGCACAGCTGTTGAGTAACTGTTCATTCGTCTCTATGAAAATTCTCATTAAGAATTATTCACAAGGGGTTTCCCTGTTCGATATGTTATTTCAACACGTAGTGACTCGTATTACCCTTTGACCGTTACATAGCTTCAAGTCCTGACTGACTGCTGTTAGTGACACAACAATCCTACTCCTCTATTTTCACTATGGACCATTGTATGTAGGGAAAATAACTATGAATACAACTGTAAAGCTCTCTTCACCGAAACATCTTTGTTTTCAATAACGCCACTGGTTTCTCGTTATTTTTCATAGAATTTACTTTACTACTAGATCAATAAATAAGTAGCGCAGGAAACGAATCTAAACGTTTTGAAATACCAAACAATCTGAAAATCGCTGATTCATTTCTTTATTATTTAATAAGAAAGATGTTTGATTAAGGTAAAGATAACAAATAAGTATACAAGATGACTGATTTCTTAAAAAATATATAAGTATGTAAAAGGCACTTCTTCCATAGTTTTTTAAAAACGAAATATATGAAACAAGCATTATGAAGTTTTCCTACATCACATTGTTAACAATTGAACGGTAGTTATGTACACATTCATCTTGTATTGTCCATATGATAAGACTATAATTTATGGACGATGTTTAGGCGACGCTAAAGTGATCTTGAGAATGTCCGTCCACTTACTAGGACTGAATGACGGTTACAAATCAGTGCGAGGAATTAGATGTAGGGTTTTCATCACGAATTGACTTAAGCTAAAATGCTATTTTGCCAAGTGGATGAATGAATTTCGCTCCAAAACTCAATACCTGTTATCCTAAATCTGATTGATTCGTTCATAAATTATAGTCTTGCTTCCATTCTTTTTCTTTTCTGTTTCTTAATTCAACAAAATTTATGTACAATTTTCTGCTAGTTTAATAATGTTTATGAATTGTAATAAAAACGACAGGTGATTCGTCTCTTTTTTTTTGATTATTTATTTACTTCTTCTTACGATAGAAATTTGTCAATGATTTCGATGCTGCACGAGCTGCACGTTGTTGATATGATTGTTTTGATTCACGATTATATGAATCATATCCTTGTGTAAATGTATTTTGTGGTTGTTGTTGTTGTTGTTGTTGTACTAATCCATCGAATTGTATATTTCTTCCTCCTCCTCCTCCTCCTCCTACATATGAATTATTTAATTGAACTTGTGATGGAAAATCTAATGCAGTCAATAATTCTGGTGGATTATTCGATTCTGTTGTTTGTTGGAACATTGAATGATTTGTTATTGGATTTTTAGTACGTTTTAATAAGTTTAAATCAGTTTTAGATAATTGATATGGTGCAACATTTAATAAATTTTCTAATAAATGCATTGAATATGTATACCAACGACGTTCAGTTTCACTTTCAAAATATGGTTCATTATATGGTGTTTTACGTATAAATTCTTCACAATTTTCAACAAAACTACGTACTAAACTTGTTGCATACAATCTCCATGTTGTTTTTTCTTCATGTAAATTATTTAATTTAGCTATAATTTCAGCTGGAATTTCATCATGTTCATTGTTATCATTCTGTTAAAGAGATAATAAGCAGTTTAATTATTCATGATTTATATTTTAATTATAAATTGATATGAACAAGTAAATCATAAGTGAGTGAAGATGCCTATATGTATGCCATGGGATACGTGGGCGAAAACGTATTTGCTGCCGGTATGCATATGACGTAAACTTGCCCCTGGTATGACGTCCGCCCTTCAAAACTCGGGGGGTTCTAACAATTTCCTCTCGCACTCACATCGTCGCGGTAGGTTTGTGAGCCTTGAAAAAAGGAATTCCGATTCCAAAAAAGGTACTCAAGCTTTATCAGATAAGGTTTGAGCAATATTAAATGACTGAAACACTAAAGTACACAAGATTTATTCTGTAATACACCATGTTCGAAGCATTGCTCACTTATAGTCAAAGTACTAAGTTAATAATAGAGGTTAGACTTAACGTTCCAATCAGATGTGATATCTCGATTAATTAGGGTACATACCCTCATATACTAAGGCGGTCAGGATATTTATTGTTTATGTCTAACTACCATCCAATGCTTTTTGAAGTAGAAGTAAAAATGTTGGGGGCAGCTAATCCATAAGTTCGTTGACTGCTACTTTGAGTCAAATCAACAGATCTAAACTTTATGATTGGAACCTTCTTAAAACTCACGATTAATGATTGGCGACACCTGATGGCAAAGAGGGAAATCCCTCACAGTGCAGAAATTTCATTCATTTATTCTATCTTGCACTTAATCTTCAGTTCTTTCTTCTGTCTTATTTGTTCCTTTCAGGCTGCATCACTTATTTGTACTGGTTGTCTGCATCTTCCCATTGGTGTTTAAGACTTCATTTGGTCAGTCTCTGTTGGTATATGTGCACCTGTGTGGAACTTCTCGATACTGACATCAAAATGTAAGCACTTTCAAGTTGAAATGAATAGTAACAAACAGTGGAATCCAGGATCTACATCTCGTTATGTCTAGGACTTGTCGACTAAATGTATCTGCATCTTGGAGTTGGTTTTCAGCCAGGGTCTCTAAAGCACTATCTTTCACTTCAAACCCCATCACGTTATCCACCTTGCTACTGAGTCCAAATTGCACCATTTCTCAAACCAGTGACTATCTGGACTCAGTAGCCAAGTAGATAACGTGATAGAGTTTGACATGAAAGGTATTGCGTTCGAGTCTCTAGATTGAAAATCAACTCCAGGATGTTGGTATATACAGATGACGAGTCCTAAGCAGGACGAAACGCTCATCTTATATTTCACTGCTAGCCACCATTCAACTCTATCTATAATGTATGGGTTACTCATATTAAAATAGTCATTGCAGTTGGTGTTATTTCCTTTTCTTTGTTTCTCATCTTATTTGTCTCTTTTTAACTGCAATCATTTAAATTGCAATAACTTGCATCGGGAAACATTCATCTTAGGTTGTTGATAACTGATTGACTTGTAACCTTATATGGTATTTCAA